GTACAAGATAAGAAGTAACCAATATGGTAGGTTTCATTTCATATTCATCTTGATTCGGTTAACATCTACTATTATTTTTCTCGTTCAGTCTAGAGAAAAGGTTGGTCAGAAAACAAAAACTGAATTCACCTCTAACTCTAGAAAAAAGTACAATTTCAGATCATTACACATGACTGAAAATATAACACTATTAACTAAGTAATGAACTTTGCTTCAAATAAAGCAACTTGCTTTTAAGCCTTAATGAATTAAATGACTATTTTTTCTCCAGCCATGAGGAAGAGACAAGAACAAGGGAGCTATATATGTAATAGAAGCCCCAGCACCTAGCACAGATGTCTGACAGGGAGAATGGTCAATAAATAGTGCTTCTCATTTGGCATATAGAAAATGCTCAATAAAAACTGCTTGAGTTTTATTTGTTTCTATGAACAGATTTACCAAACTTTTTATAACTCAGTTGTATGGAGCTATATTTAATGATGTGCCTTTTCTCAATTTCAAATTCTAATTTCAATTCCTGATTCATACCTAGTAAGTTCTAAAGTAATTATAAATGTAAGATACCTAATGTAAGATGTATAAATGTGTGATGCCTGCCCTTATGCTAGGAGTTAAAACTTGAAGTTACTCTAAAACTCAATACTGAAACCTCTTACTGCAACATCATCATTATATTTGGGGCTGTTTCAAAAAGTAAAGGAAAGAAAATTAAAACAGTCAGTGTTTACAGAGTATTTGCTTTCCGTGCATATATTACATATTAAGTCTCTTTAATTCTGAAAACTAATGTCGAATTACAGTGTCCACTAAACAATACTGGCTTTATTCTCTTGTCAGTGCACCGTGATTGATGTAAGCACTGGAAAAGAGCATCTCTTTGCCTACTGCTATGAAAAGAGTTTTCCATCTCACCTAAGGTTAAAAATAATGTTATTTTAATAGAAATGGACTTGTTCCCATTACAAATTATTGTCAAGTTATGAAAAATGTAATCATTACAATACATTATTATATTTAAGTATAAAAGCTCTGAGCTGCAATCTTTGTCATTGAGTGGCATATTTTAAACGAAGAGTAATATCCCAGGTCTCTTTAGAAAGCTTAATGCTTAAAAACAGTTTTATCTAACTATGCACAATGAGAAAAAAGCATTATAAAATACATTTTGAGTATGCTATGAGGAATATGAACATAATACAGAATTAAATTTAGAGCAATTAAGAGTAGATTTTGAAGATATTTTCTTAAATGCTTTAATACAGTCAGCACCATTTCAGTTTGCAGTTTTAATGAGAAGAAGCTATATGCACTGACTTTTTTGACAGGTATTATTAAATAAGTATGTATTATCCAGAAGCCTATTTGGTTACACAAAAGTTGAGGAGTAACTAAAAGTAAACACAAATAGTAGCTTAATGATATTTCTGTGCTGAAATGTACTTTGATGGTGAGTGTTGTAACGTACTAAATTCTGAGGTTGAGTACAACAGAAACCATACTGTATTGAGACATTCCACCTACAGTTTGTGGTCATGAAAGTCTGATTAAAAGTGGTTTTAGATATATGAAAGTATTTTGGGCCAGTGCCTTCTGTATTGAATCTACTCTTACACTGTTTCACTAAATAAAATACCAATGTGCAAATACATCGGGGTAACTAAATTGCTTCTAAAATAAATATTAAAAGACATTTTATATAAATCTATGTAATTATTATGATTCTTTATCTGTTCCAAAGAGGTAGTCTTTAACTCATTATTAATACCAATCATAACTCATCTGAATAAACTAGAATAAAAAAGCTTCTAAAGTAGTGTGATAATCAGATATGAAAATAAAACACTAGGTATATTTAGTAGAAGTACCTTAGAAAGACAATCAATAATCGTAAAACAAAAAGTGAGACATTGGCAATTATTACAAAGAAAGATTGTTCCAAGTTGAAATGTAAATAATGTATCTGAGTGGAGATTGACTAGCTGATGTGGGCTGATAAATACCATATTTTCCAAAGAATGATCAGAGGGGATTCCATATTTCTGCTTTATCTTTGTATTAGGAATAATGAGATCCTCAAATAGCCTTAATCAGTAGACTCTTCATAGCCACCAACATAGACATATTTTGTAAGTCCTTTTTCTGTACATCAGCCAAGTGAGGGATGGGAACTAGGTTTATTGAGCTTCATTGTTAAGCGGTATGCTCACTATTGTACACTGATTTTATTTTGTGCAGTCTTTACAGCAACACTAGGAATAAGCATTCTCTCTATTTTACAGATGAAAAATCAAACTCAGAGAAAAATCCAATTAAAGAACTTAAATGAATTTCTCATGACTAGCACATAACAGGTTCAGCCTTCAAATTTGGGATCCTCTTAACCAGGCCCCGGGTTCTTCCCTTTCTACCATCCTGCCTTTAATGCAAATGTGATAAAGCAATATAATCATTATTGAGCACAGATTTATCTTTTTAAAATTCTACTCATGATATGATTTTTTAAAATGTCATGGGAAAAGCTTTCACATAATTTTATTTATTTTTTTAAAGGTTTTATTTATTTATTTGACAGACAGAGATCACAAGTAGGCAGAGAGGCAGGCGGGGGCGGGGGCGGGGAGCAGGCTCCCTGCTGAGCAGAAAGCCCGACGTGGGGCTTGATCCCAGGACCCTGGGATCATGACCTGAGCCGAAGGCAGAGGCTTTAACCCACTGAGCCACCCAGGCACCCCATAATTTTAGATAATATAGATCAATTTGATATTTCTAGAAGCTTCACTTAATAGTTTTCCCTATTTCATTTTTATACTACAGATCATTAACTTGTGCCCATATGTGTCTGCTGGTCCAAGCACTGGGCATTCATTGTGAGCAAAATAAAAATGGCGTAAGATCTTGTGAAACATGTACTGTAGAGGAAGACACAGACATCAATGATCACACGCAAAAATATACAAATTATGAAATGTGAGAAGTGCTATTAGGGAAAAATAAAGGGTGATAGGTAAAACAGTATTAACAAAGTGTGGAGGATTGAGGAGACCAAGAGATCAGGTTTTCCTGTCTGTTCACCCACAGTTCCTGTCAATATGTTTATATTTAGGTTTGTGGGATGGGGTAGGATTCAAAGTTCACTCTGAGGTCTCTAGTTTGGGTAACTGAGTTTATTGTGAGATGGCCAAGCCAGGAGGCGGAGCAGCTTCAAGGATGAAGATGATGAGTTTAAGCTGTGGAGGTTTAAGAGATTCCTAGGACATTCAGATAGATGTAGGACTGGAGGACATCCTTTGGGTGTCCCAAGACTAAAAAAAAAAAAAAAAATTGAGGAGTGGGAATCTAGATTTGGGGATTACACACAAATAGGTATTAGATAAAACAGGGCTGGCCTCTGCAAGATGGGTTAGATTTGAAGGTGAGAAAAAAAAAATTTAAGTTGTCCATTTAAAAATCAACTAACGGGGTGCCTGGATGGCTCAGTGGGTTAAGCCTCTGCCTTTGACTCAGGTCATGATCTCAGGGTTCTGGGATCGAGTCCCGCATCAGGCTCTCTGCTCAGCGGGGAGCCTGCTTCCCCCTCTCTCTCTGCCTGCCTCTCTGCCTACTTGTGATCTCTGTCTGTCAAATAAATAAAATCTTTAAAAATAAATAAATATATAATAAAAATAAAAATCAACTAAATTAAGTTAGTCAGCATTTCCCAGAGAATACGACTCAAAAAACCTAGCTTTGAAAAATGATAGTAAATGCTCCTCTAAATAAATAAGTAAATAAGCAAAGAAATAAACATTCTTTCAGGAAGTGGTTTGGGTGGCAGGTTAAACAAAATTTAAAAGTTTTTCCAGCCTTTAATATATCAATGTGCCTCATTTCCCAAATTAAGCTACTGAACTTTTTGTCCTAAAGAGTATTTTATAGAAATGATATTCCAGAGAACACCTGCTGGAAAATGCTGGGCCATTTAAAAGCTTACAGTTAACAATGTCCATGGTTTTTGGTGGACAAACTAGAGTGTAATCAAGAAAGGAATGAAATTGGGAATAGTGAAATTTTTATTGCATTTGGTACCCTTGCCAGATAGGAAGTATTCAAAGTCAGAGCTGTTGTAGACAGCTCATCAGGAGAAAGGCATTGTAAAGAGTGAATTTTAAAGATTGGGGATGAATTGAGGAGGGAATGATTTCAGACAGGGAGATGATCTAGGACAGGAAACTGATAAGGACGGGAATGATAGAGCCGCCTGGGAAATAGACAAGAAAGTGTGAACCTGAGAAACATTTCAAGGGAAGGAATTATGGGACTTGGTAATAGATTAGATTAAAAGAAAAAAAAGGAAAAGATAATAATACATTTTCTGGCCTGAGAAGGGAGGAAAGATACACAAAAGATTGAAAACAGAACCCTAACGGTATTATGACAAAAGTACTTCCCAACTTTCTACTGCATTTCTAGAAAACATAGTACAGCACTGTCTGAAAGCAGTCTTATCCCTTTGAGTGTTTTCAGTTAAACAAAACAAATTTTTAAAAGTTTTGGACACACACACACAAAGAATTTCTGAACACGCATCGAAAATGGTATGCATGTCCAGTCTTCACATGGTCAAAAAATGAGCTCCAAACTTATAATTGGGAAAGATCTTAACCATGCTGAAATTAATGTTCTCAAATCTTAAATTGCTCCAAAAAACATGAATAGTTCTCTGGTCACCTTCATTAAAATGCCCTACATTAAATCTGGCATTTACAGTTTCACATTCAGCAACAAGCTGGAAATCACACTTTTCAAATTCTAAGCAGAAATTAGTTTTAGATTTATTTGCTTTCTTTCCAAATGTGTTAGTGCCCAAGGGCTCTGACAACGACACACTTTGTTTCACAAAGGAAAAAAAAGTAGTACTGTTAAAAAAAAAAAAAAACAACCAAAAAAAAACCACCAAGCGTTTTCTTTTCCTTTAAAAAAAAAAAACAAAAACAAAACTGCCTGGTTTTTTTTTCCAGGTGACATTTACAAAGAGGAAATTTGGGTTGATGAAGAAGGCTTACGAGCTGAGCGTGCTCTGTGACTGTGAGATCGCGCTGATCATCTTCAACAGCACCAACAAGCTGTTCCAGTACGCGAGCACCGACATGGACAAGGTGTTGCTCAAGTACACGGAGTACAATGAGCCGCATGAGAGCCGGACAAACTCAGACATCGTGGAGGTGAGAACGCATGCGTGGTTGGTGAACCCCACCCCCACCCCCAGTTGAGCGGTGTGATGGTTGGCTTCCCCCTTCCACGCACACACGCGCACGCACACATACCGGTTCCTTTTCCTAAGGTGTTCCTATCCCCCACAGATGTCCCCCTGGTTATCACCCCAACATTACCCCACCCTTTCTATTCCTGCAAAATGCAAGTTAGAGCTATATGGTAATAGGGACAATGTAGATATCTGGTCCTTGCTAGAAATCAGGCACCACTGTCAACGTATTGACCTCATCCTCCACACGGCCGTATCAGGAATAAGACTTGGGAATTGTGGCCAACACAGGGCTTTACTTACTTTTGGTGATTTCTTTTAGGTATAGACTACTGTCACAGCATCGTCGAAGAAAAAAATATTTAAAAATGAACTCACCCCAGCCTTATACTTCAATTTCTCACTTTGTCTCTTCTTTCTAATTCATTCTTCCTAATGTATTCTTACTGAAAGGTTAAAGACAATTATTCTGCTAGAAATGTTTTCCCCCCAATTATATCATTTAGTGTAGCATTGTTAATATACGCAGAATCAGAAATCTGATGAAAATGAATTTCTAAATGTTAGCTTGGTGTTTTATCAGATTTAAAATGTTTTATTTTGCCAGAAATAAATAAGCATCACATTAAAACACAAAAATGTTTTTGATTCATTAGCATAAGTAGCATTGCCATACAGTTTTAAACACTTCCTGCACATATCCTATTTAAATGTTATTGCCTTATAATACCCTTCATAAACAGTGAATACTGAATCAAAAAAGACGTTCAGTGAGGACTGTCCCTCTCTGTCTGTTTCCCTCACTTGTCTATCTCCTCATGATTACCTAGATGGTGATTATGATTGCTTTCCCAGAGTTAAAAGAAAAGTAATAAATTTTTCAAAAGTATGTATTCAGGGTCAGTTTACCAGAGTATAGGTTATTCCTGTCATTACTTTTAGACTGTTCCATATTATGAAAAAAATGTAGCACTAATCTTGACCAGATTAATCGACCTCTCACTTTCATTTTCTTTTTACCTGTTATAATTGCCTAAGACTGATTCTCATGTCTTTGCCTTTATTTGGAAGTTTTTTAAAAGTATTGAGCTGGGGCACCTGGGTGGCTCAGTCGGTTAAGCATTCGACTCTTGATCTCCTCAGCTCAGGTCTTGATCTCAAACCCCACTTTGCACTCCACACAGGGTATAGAGCCTACTTAAAAAATAAATAAAACAATAAAAGTATTGAACTGATTGCCTTTTTTTTTTTTTGCCTAACAAAGCCAAGTAAATAATTTCAGAAAATGAAAGTGAATAAGCTTAATGTGGTATATGTATAAAATACTTGCAGATTTGCATTACTGAATGTCACTTTAGTTTTTCATTGACATGATTTTAATTGTGTGCCTTGATGTTGAAATTTAAGGCCATTTATAAAACTTACCTGAAAACTTTCCTGAAAAAAATTTTAGAAAAAATTTTATCCATGTATACATATAACTGTGAAAATTCATAAACAAACACGAATATGAACAGAACTGGTCAACGTCAAATCTCATAGGTGCTTCTGTGTGTGTGTTTGTGTATGTGAGTTTGTGTGCCTGTGCGCTCACACACATTTAACATAAGTTCCAAACACAAAATAACTCAATACTCCATCTCATTACCTAAACCATTACAACAGACACTTCAGGGTATCAGAGTTGAGCTAGAATTTGTCATTAGACCTAAACTGCTCCAGTCCTTAACATGATGTAAAATGCAGTAGAACCATAGTAAAGTATTTGAAAAATGTGCTGACTTTTAAACTTCGCTTTCTTAAAGGAGCTTAAATATCTAGAAAATTCATTTTTCTGAGAGCTTTAGTCAAGAATATACTGTGTGATTTAACAGAGAACTTCACATTCTCAGGACTTTCATAATCTTGGACAGATGGGTATCTGAGTCAGACTTCTTTAAAGGCCATGAGAAGAGCACTGGGTTCCAAGTCAGAGGGCTTGCATTTGAAACCTTGTCTTGCACACTCTTACTATGTGACAAGTTAGCTACTTCTCTGGGCTGAAGTGTCCTCATCTTAAAAATGAAGACATTGAGTTTGAAAGTCCTTTGCAACACAATTCTTTAAAAAGCAATACTTTTAAAAGAGAGTAAAGCAGCAGCTCCATTATCTTGCATTTAATTCAGTAAAGCTCTGAATCTCTCAAAAAGACAATCTGGGGCTCCTGGACCAAACCTAGGGATGGCTTGATTCTTTGGATGAACAGAACATGTTATAAATTGGTCCTACTCAACTACCTGAATCACACATTCTCCATCTATTTCGCTTTTCAACATTTCAGTAATAACAGAAATAAATGAGGAAGAAGTAAGAGGGCTCCCTAAGCCTAATAAAATTTACATCACCCCCACGTAGAGTATTTTTCTAAGTGCAGCTCATTGAAATCGCTATTCTTGAAATACTTGGCAGAGAAGACGGAATCTGGATGGAAAACTGCATTTATGTTTCCCAAGTAATTCTTTCATACACTAAGTTTGAAAACCTCTGCAGCCCTGAGACATAATTTGTGTTGGGGGTGTCTGACTGATTCAGTCGGTTAAGCATCCGACTCTTGATTTCAACTCAGGTCATGATTTCAGGGTTGTAAGATCAAGCCCCACATCAGGCTCTATGCTGGGCGTGAAGCCTGCTTGATTCTCTCTCCCTCTCCCACTGCCCCTCCCCTCCAAAAAAAAAAGATATAAATTTTTTTGGAGGCTAAGAAACTGGGATACATCAGGGATTTGAGGAATCCATCCTTAGAATGAATCTAACACAAAGTTGAGAGTTAAGGTAGTTTACTACTCCCGAGTAAAATTTTAAATCCTATTTATTTTAATTTAATGGAATACATCTAACTGCGTAAGTTTAATGAGGAGCATAATTTGTTTCATGAAGGGTCATTAGTTTTATATTTCCCGTTTGGACCACTATCCCTCTCCCTTAACCTTCCAAAAACAGTTTACTCACAAGAAAAAAAGATTGGCACAGAGAGAGAAATAATATGATTCCCAGCATTTAGACCAAAATACAAATTTCTGGGCCATATTAGAGTAGTGTTACAGGGTCATAGGAAATTGTGCAGCGCGTGGGTGTTGAAAAAGATTCCTTCTTTTAGCAAAAAAGCTCTGCGTAATTATCATGTCTTTGCTTGATAATTAGCACTACTGTTACAATGGCACAAAGACAAAGACTTAATAGACAGACTGAGATAGGTTTTTTTATTATTATATTATAATGCAGCTTGAATATCTGTTTAGATACAATATATAAATATGCCAGATTTAGTAAATGTGTTAAATTTTTAATCCATTGCTTAAAAAAAACAAATACAGTTACTGTATTAAAAGCGTTTCCTTTGAAGAAAGTCCATTTTATTTTACTATATGACAAGTAGACTGGATATTTACTCAAAATGCTGGCTTATAAGGCTGTTGAAATTAAGTAGGGATTCTGATGATATTAAGGGAACTCTCCCCTTCATCTCCTCCAATTGTCTTAGCTCCATTCCTGGTTCCCTTCTACCATTCTACCCTACAGTTGATGTTAGGCTCTATTCCTGGAAGATGTGGTGTTGAGCAATTCAAGATGACCTGAAGAATGCAAGGCCCACAGGACACGCTTTCGGGCCATCCTTCTCTTAACAATGACTTAGCAAGTGTCAGCTTACAATCAGCACTGTACAAGGGATTCTGAAACAGCAGAAGACAGGCATTCTTGTTAAGGATATAGAACGTATATAAAAAGCAACTCAGGAACAGTTGGAGGGCTAAGGAGCCCTCATTAATGTAATACAAGCAACTCAAAGGAAAACGTAAGCTAAATAATTGATCAAAAGTCATTCAAACAAGTCATTGATCACCAGGTCATTGCAGGTGGTCCTTGGAGTGACAGAAGTCCCAGACAGGTTACCTTCGTATCAAACACATTGTCTAACCAAAAACCCATAAGAGAGTGCCGCTTAGCACCTGGCCAGGAGGGAGGATGTCACCCCTCAGTGATTCAGTGATTCTGTTTTCATCCAGTCTGGGCCAGTAGTCAATGACTAAGGGTGGAAGGGGAATAGAACACAGGGCCCTCTGTTGCTCCCTAGGAAATCAAAAAAGATGGACATAACCCCTGCAAAAGAAATCTTTGATTTACAGTTGTCTCAGCAAAGGATTACTTTTTTTTTTTAGATGCATGCAATTAGCAAGAAGTGTGTGTGTGTGTGTGTGTGTGTGTGTGTGTGTGTGTGTGTGTAAGAGAGAAAGGGAGAAAGGAAGATAGGAGAGAAAGAAATGATATTTACATGAAATTTTATTTTCCATCATCTGAATCTTGTTTGGATTTAAAGAATTCTAAGAACAGTTGTTCCACCAAAATGTTTCCTTGCATGGTAATAATTAAGGCCTGAATTAGAACTGGAAATAGCTTATAAATTTTATTGTTTCACAAAGCTGCTAGAGGTTATCAATAAGCTAACTACTTTTGCGTAGCTTGATGAAAATTGAGAGGTATAATTTTTGTTGAAAACCAAATGCAACAGATAGTGGAAATGGACTTATTTATAAACCATGTATTATCAAATTTGGAAGTAGATGTAAAATATGAAAATCTGTTTATTTTACTTGAGCTTTCATTGAATCTAAACTAATTGAGTAGGTTCCAATTTTATACGCTATATTACAAAATATGGATATATAAGGGACGCCTGAGTGGCTCAATCAGTTGAGCTTCTGACTCCTGTTCTCAGCTCGGGTCTTGATCTCAGGGTTATAAGTTGGGGCCTGCTTAAAAAAAAAAAATATGGTGGGGGAGATAAAATTATTTGTTTGCGTGCTTTATAGATGTGTATTACATATCGGTACTCTTTTTTTTTTTTTTGCAATGAAGTAACGTGGCTCTTTCCATGGGCTTCTTTTTTTTTTTCTTCATTTCAAGTTTTTATTTAAATTCCAG